CCCCCAAACGAAACTTCTCTGTTCAAAGTTTTCTTTGTGGATTCGGGGAGATCTCGGTGAGCGCAGTCCAACCATGTTTTCAAAAAAAAAATTTTTTTTTTTTTGACCCACTTTTGGACCCGACCGGAATTCCGGTGGACCACGCAGGGGTCCAACCGGCCCGGTTGGATCCGGGCCGGTCCAACCGGCCGGTTGCCGGCACAGCCATGATTTTATTTTATTTTATTTTTTATTTTATTTATTTTTTTATTTTTATGATTCGACACTTTTGATGAAAGTGCGGAGCACTTTAAGTGCAGCTTCCATACTGGGAGAGATCAATCAGTTGAGATCCTCAGAACAAACGTTGATTTATTTATTTATTTTTAACCAGTGAAAGCGGGAAACAGCTTACGACAGCTCATTTATTTTCAGTATTTCCCCAAAAGAAAAAAAAAAGAAATTGGCTACACAGTGAGAAGATAACAGGCGAACGGTAATTAACGGGTAATATCTGTGTATTACCAATCTGAAACCGAGTTTACTGAAATTATTATTGAGCTCATTTCGAGTCTGCTCTGTTACTCGGTTCCCCGAATCACCTCACAAGAGTTCGACTGAGCTGCTGAGAGCTCTCGCCGACTCTGGCAAACGCGCCAGACATGACACTAGAGCCGGGGGGGCTATCTGATGCGGGGGAGTTGTGATCAACAGCATTGGAACGGCGAGTAACCCCAAGCAAGGGAGAGCGCAGGCAGCGAAAGCACTGAAAGGGGGGGGTGAGCGTCTTCGCGAGTGTGAGCGTCATCGCGAGTGTGAGCTTCTTCGCGAGTGTGAGCGTTCTGCGTGTGTGCGAGGGAATGACCAGAAGTGACTGCGAAGGACGAAACGAAGGTGACTGAGAGAAAAAGGCAGCACTCACTAGGGGAGAAGGTGAGCCGCTGATTGCTAAAGGGCCGTGGTTGAAACGGGCTTTCCCTTCCCAATTGTCCGAACATGAGAAAGGGTGGGAAAGGAAGAGTGCTTACGAGGGTGTGAGCACTGTGAGGGAGCTCCTGAGGAGGGAGGCAAAGACGAGCGAGAGCGCGAAAGGGGAGAGGACCGGAGGCTGGAATCGACAAGTAAGAGAGGAAACTCTAAAATGAGTCGTTGATGCATGGTATCTGGGCACGAGGATGAATATGCGAATTGGTCCGCCAAGTGTTAAAACTTTTGTTGTCCCTGAATGCTCAGTCAACTCGTCAGGTCTCAACTCATCTTCTACCAAATTCAGCATAGAGCACACAGATAACCTGGTCAGAGCGGATACATCAAACACCCTGGAATTCAAGTTCAACCGTGAGTACACAGTTAGCCCGATTAGTGCTGAGTTATTGATTTTTCTCGAATCCTAGTGCTCTTGCTAATCACGCGAAAGAACTGAACAAGAGTGGACACCTTGATAACCCCGAAGCTCAGTTACGGCGTTAGATCGCACAGTTAGCTCGTCAGATGCTGTTGATTAATTACTATTGAACTCGAATCCAGCTGTAGATCGTGCGGAAGGCTCATCGAGTGGAAGTATGCATATGTTTAAAATTAAATTATTTCATTGATTGATTCCCTGTTGGGCGAGATAAAGGAAGGAGCCATCTTGGGGTTTCAGTTTCATTTTATTCTGTCCCACTTCCCGTGCATACTGAGTAATTGTAGAAATCTTCATCTTGGGCAGTCTAACAGAGGGTGTGACAGGTAGAGTTAAACAAGGACACCCTGCCGGTCCCTGAGGACCTCGAAAGCGGGCGCAGCGAGTGATAGGCGCTGTTGCCCTTGGCTTCAAAGAACGGGAGGCGACCCCTCCCCGGGTTTCACCACACCGTGACCTGTGCTTTGGTAGTTGTTTGTCGGCTGTCGTAGGTCTGTGTAGCGGTAGGGGTTCGATCTGTAGGTCTGTCGATTAGGAGTCACAACTCTGTAGAGGTCGTAGCTATAGGTATTCTGAAAGGTCAAGGTCGTAGCTGCTACAGTCCCGAAAGGTCAAGGTCGTAGCTGCTACAGTACTCGAAAGATCAAGTCCACAAACTTCCGGGAGGTCCGGAAGTGGCCTTTCGAAGTTGCCTCACGTTTGGCCAGAGGCAAGTGGGCAAGTGGTGAGCCCAGCTGCGTTACGTCGGCAGTGCGACTGCGTCGAGTTGGCAGTGCAAACCCATGCAGTCAGCCGTACCGGTCCCAGTCAGTCAGAGTCCAGTCAAGCAAGTACCGTGTGGGACTGTGTGCACCAAGGGCCTGCGAAAGGGGCAGACCAACGAGTTACAGAAGTATAAATCAAGAGGCAGCGCCCAGTCATTCATTCATTCGCTGAATAAGCCATGCGGAAGCGCTGCTACAGCGTCTTGTGCGAAGGTGGTCTGCAGGTTGCCTGAAGATGAAGTGGGCTGAAGAGCGAGCTGTAACCATAGCAGTAGTGGCAAGCGGCCATAGCCGCCGTAGGTTAGAAGATAGGCTGAGTGTGTGTGCGTGGTAGTATTCAGGATGATCCAGAGTGGGGTACGTGCAAACAGTGGTGTTGGACACAGTGACGAGAGTTGGGTGTACCGGCGTTGTTGCACCATAGCTGCATGAAGCGAGTTTGCATCTGAACTGTGTTCTTGGTTCCATATCTCTGAGATTTGAGTGGGCGCCTGGCGCCAGTGTGAATTGCTATCTGTTTGCATGTATGCGAAGTTAGGAAGAAAGCGAGTCTGATTGCATTGGTATCGGAGCTGGTTCCCGTTACTCCACGCGTCGTCGCTGTCTGGGCGCCATAGTGGTAGCTGTGCCATCGAAGCAGGAGGTCCGCCATAGCTGCGCCACTGAAGTGAGGTGCCGCATACCTGCAAGAGGAGACAACGACGAAGAGAGAGAGAGAGAGAGAGAGAGAGAGAGAGAGAGAGAGAGAGAGAGAGAGAGA